AAATTTAGAGAAGGAAGTGGTCATTCCAAGTTGACTCACCCTTTGGTCAGCCACTGGAGGGGTAAAATTTAGAGGAGGAAGTGGCCATTCCATCTTGACGACCCTTGTAAGTGAGCAAACATGCGGGAAAGGGCCTGTGTGCGCACTTGAGTCTCCCCGATGGACTGTGTGCGCGCATGAGTCAAATCTGTGTGCGCAGATGAGGCGCAAGTGCTAACAAAATGTGTGTGCGCAGATGAGCCGCCGCCCTTCCAATAAAGCCCCGCGACAATTACATTCTTCACTAAGCCCCGCGACAATTACATTCTCCACTAAAGCCCCGCGACAATTACATTTTCCAATAAAGCCCCGCGACAATTACATTCGTTAGCATAAAAATAAAAACCCTCAGCATAAAAGTAAAAACCCTCAGCATAAAAATAAAAACCCTCAGCATAAAAATAAAAACCCTCAGCATAAAAATAAAGACCGTTAGCATTAAAAAAGAACCCACCCAAATCCAGCATAAAAAAAGAACCGTTAGCATAAAGAAAAAAACTATTCCCAAAAAGAATGAGCAGTGGAGGCTTCCAAGTTCCATGATCAGCGTGAAGTGGTAAAAACGGCCAAATTTCAGGAAGCATGCAAGAGCTGTTCTTTGGAGAGAATAAGCGTGCAGAAGGTGTTCTTATGTTCTTTTTTCAATCAAAGCCTTCTCACGCTTCCTAAATTTTGGTAGATGGAGACTTCTCCATCGCCGATGGAGAATTCTCCATCCAGGGTGGTTGACCTGGGGTCTTTCTGGGGCGGCAATAGTAAGCCAGTTCGCGTGCCCGCGCAGGAAAAACGGTAAAACATGGAACAAAAACGCGGATATGGTATCAAACAAGGGCCGCCCCCCGGTAAAAACAGTAAAACATAGTAAAACAAGAAGACTTGTGATTTTTAGCGTTTTTAGCGCATATATGGTAGAAGAAAAAAAGGGTGACTCTCCGTTAAAAAGCGGTAACACAAAAATTAACAGTGTTCAATGTGTTTTCCGTTTTTCCGCGGGGATGCCTCGGGAACAGGTCGCAAGCTAGAAGAGCTCTGTAAACAAAAGGTTTAATGTTGACCTCTGATGATTAATTCTCGGGGGGTATCAGACTGTGAACAATTTGTCGACCCTAAATTAAGTGCATCTGGATTCAAGAATAGTTTATTAGAGACATGCAATGACCTCTTACTAAAAACATTCAATGAACAATAGAATCATAATCCCTGATTAAAACCAATATCAAAATAATGGGATGTAGTGTTTAAATCAGAAATCGATAGATCGAACTAATGAACTAGAATTGTTTATTCGATATTATAAACAATTGTTTGGACGCTCTTTGGACGCACGGCCATGGTGTGCCACAGAGCGCAGACGAAGGTTGATCCTCTACACAGGAATTCCATTTTTCGACCCAAAAACCGTTCACATATGTTAGATTATGTTAGCATGACTTGCAGCATTTCAATTCTGAAAGGCTGTTGTCGCGTCCCGAAATGAGTGCTGCACAACTACAAGCTGTGAGTGGCCCAGTCCACCGTGATTCACCATTCGAGTCTACGCAGACTCCTTTCATGCAAGTCTCCCAGTGGCTATGAATCGATGTATCCATTCATCCATTCTATCAGATTTGCTTGGTCATGCTTTTGCAGCACTGGCTCATTGGGTGAAAGCTGTTGCCTGGGAGCGCAGAAGGTAAAAAAGGCCCCCCCCACTAAACGTTTAAAAATAAGAATGATTCAGATTGTTACCTTTTTTACCGCGGATGTGGTAGAAGAAAAGGGGCAGCCCCCCCGATACAAAAAGGTACAAAACATAAAACAAAATTGTGTTGTTCTTACCGCGAGGATGCCTCGGGGGAACCCTGTAACTCGAGCAACACCGCTAAACCAGCACAGCGGCAATATGGTCCATACATGGAGTGTTGGGGATACCCTTATATGATGCACAATATCCTCTTCTATGTAAATGGAGGAGTTTCTATGTCTATTTATAGAGTCTATAAATTGGATAGTAGGACTCGCCGGCCTAATTTTCAACTGGACGTATATATATATATATATATATGCTACCCCCCCCCCAAAAAAAAAACAACGTTTTCAGACAAATGTCTTGCTTGTATGTGAGAGTTGTCCTTGATGATAAAGCAGATGTATTGAAAGCAGATTGTTCTTGATGGCCAAGCAGATGTACAACAGATGAAGCCTTTGGATGCATTGGCACAAACAGCTCATTTTGCCTTGCAGATCTCATCAGCGATCAAAGTGTACTACTCTGTTCTTAGGAAATTTATCATTTCCCAAGTGCACAGCTCTCCGGTCGCTACCCAAAGATCTTTCTGTCTATACCAGTACAGGTACTGCGCCGAACGCAACTTGGAGCGAAGGCGCTTCGAACCTGTTGTACAGTTCTGGTTCAAGACAACCCGATCTTTGAGATATCGCCAGGCCCGTTCGATGACCTGAGTGCCGGCTTTGACCTTCAGAGCCGTCTTAGTGCCAGGCACTTTGTGCGTAGCAATACGAACATACTTTGGAAGCTGCCACCTCCACTTGCCCTTGACCTTGATGCCTTCTTGCAGTGCACCACATTGTCGTGCAAGACGCCAGGGGGCTCGATAGCTCTTTGCGGCATCTGTTTGAAACGCCTTTTTGTTTTGAAGCAATTTTTCGGCAATGGGTTTCCATTCCACTTTCCGGATGGCCCCTGGCCCTGGAGCTCGAGCAGCAGCCAATGCAGGTGTCAGACGATGGAGCACAAGAGTCTCGGGGTCCATTGCTCCCACAAGACATACTCGGATGGGTCTGGAGCAGTTGCTAGGTCTTTCCTGTCAAAAGTGGCTTCATCAGCCTCCACATCGCTCCAGGGCTTTCCAGCCCCGAAGACAATCTCCTTTGCCTCCACCCATTTCATACGCAAGTCGCAGAGACGAGTCTCCCACTCTTCAATGACCTTGTGATTGACGCCCAAGAGCCAGTGAATGATTGGATGGAACACATTGTTCAGCTTCAAGAGTAGGATGGCTGACTGCGTAAACAAAGACGTCGAACTAGCGCCGCGGCCATCAACGAACAAAGGGTGGAGGTGGTGAGGACTGATGTATGCCCAGCATCCACGGGCACTGCAGTTGAGCGCACCACTGGACGGATGTGGCACCAGAGTAGACAAAGTTCCCTTCTCACATCTGGGACAAACGTGACCTTTCCAACATGGAAGCAGACGGTCCTCCCGAAGCTTGTGGATCAAGTCGTTCTCAGTGGTGTGAAGTAACTCTGGGAGAGACCTCTTCCACGAAGTGCGATCCATGCGTATCCTATCCTTGGCCTTGTCACGGGTGTAGGCAATCTTGTTCCACGTCGAGCTCTTGGTGGACGCTGGCCGCTTGAGGGTACTTCTACCCTTTCCGCGCCTCGGATCTTCAAAGGGTTGAACTTTGGCGCCATGACGATCAAAACTTGACACAAGGGAGAACTACAGCAGCTACAAAATTCTGGCAGATAGTGCGCAGAGCTTGGAAGTGACAGCGCAATCAAAAAGGGCAGAACATGAATAGATATAGTCTTTCTGCATATGCGCCATTTCAATTTCAGATTGGGGCGCCCTTTTTCATACGTTCAACGCTCATCAGGATCCTGACTAGGAAGCTTCCAAGATGCTGCAAAGTACGAGAAGGGTTTCCTTCATCCACGTGTCGGTGATGTCTTCTGCGGGGTCCGGGAGGCAGCCACGAAAAACGGTGCATTTGTCCAAAATCTCTTCATACTCCTTCAAAATGAAGTTGCGAAGGTCAGAGCGTTGCCCTTTTTCATCACAAAGACGCATGCCGCGGCAGATGGCACGCGCCCGGTACATCTCTTCGGATAGACCATGATTGGTGAAGGTACAAGACAGTACAGGTCAGGGTAGGATGCGAACAAAATGTGGTACTCTTCATTCAGATTCTGCACAATGCGGCTGCGCTTCAATATGGCCATGGTGAGAGTAAGCAGGAAAAGAGCCACCTTAAGCAGCAAGCTAAAGGTTCAGACAGCAGCCGAAAGATGCTAGATGACAGAAGGCATGTGACAAGAACCTCCAAACAATGACAGTCAGAAGCACAACATGTGTTTTTTTCAAGTTGACAGGACACAACCTTTTGCTCCGCTGGTAGGTATGATTGGCTTCCTATACGTCTGCCCAGGGCAAGAGATCACTCAGTCCTGGTGGGTGGCAAAGCCATGTCCAAAAACATCTTCTTCATCACCTTCTCCAATCATGCCCTCGATGAGAATGGGTGGATTTGGAATCGGAGATGGTGCTTCGTCACCAGAGACCAAGTTGATAAGGCCTTAGTTCTTGGCTTTTTTCTCTTCCACTTCTGGAGCCTCAGCTTTGATGGATGTCACTGATTCTTTTTGATGCTTTTGTGCACCGGGCTGTCTAGATCAATGGAGCCAGCGCAAGTTGTCAAAGAGCGCTTGAAGCCGATGGTCTCGGACTTGACTGGCTGAGGAGGCACGTGTACTTCCACGACACGGTTGGCTTCAGAAGGGTTGAACAAGGAATGTGTAATGGTCTCTGTAGGCAGTGGAGGCATGTCTTTCCCTCCTCTTTCCATGCCAGAGGTCATCCACGCCTGCTCCCACTTCACATGAGATACAAACTCCTCAGGTAGATTCTTGTTGCCTTTGCGATAGTCCATGTATTTCTGCCCACCAGACTCACGAAGCAAAGAACCAGGCAAATCAATGCGGTCGACCGAAACCTCAGACTCAGTGGCGGGGCGCCAGTACATGAAGCGCTTGGTCATGATCAAGATGCAAGTTTGCTTCAGGACGGCCTCAATGTCAGACACTGAGGACCCTTTCATCCACGCTGGCTCCAAGATCTGCATGAAGTCTTTGTGAGAGAGGGTTGTCACATTCCTTTTTGGTCGAGGCTCCGCGGTGAGATCTAATTCGTTGGAGATGTAGATGCGCGTTTGACCTTGTTGGAATTTGGCCGCTCCCCACCTCTCCTTGGCCTTAGTGAGGACCGTGTTGCCAATATCACAAAAGCCTTTGAGCTTGCGCATAGGCTGTTCGGGAAGGGAACCGTCATCGAAGATGTCAGGGCGGTCCTGTCTTCCTGCCTCGCCCCTGAAGAAATCAAACTCACAGGCCTCCCGGTAGCCAGGGACATTGCGAGAGCCAAGCTTCCGCACCCAGTACCGGGACATGGCCATTGCGACAATCCTTCCAAGTGGAGTCTTTCCCATCCAAGATGAAGAGGACAGAAGGGTTCACATCCACAAGTGTCAGGGGGAAGTCATGCACGGGCGAAGCTAAGACTCCATCCGTCATGAGGTTCCTCAGAGCTTCTTTGGTCAATCTCTCGGGCCAGTCTTTGATGGGAGAATCCTCAGAGATGAGTTGCTTTGTGATCCATCGCAGTTGGGTGTTGCTGTGATGGCTTCGAGGGCCGTATTGCTCAATGAAATCAAATCCTTCGTCAATCTTGTCGTCACTCAGGCCATCATAGAAAGTCTTGCGGTCAGATGAAGCAGCGCCAGCAGGAGACAAAGCGAAGCTTTGGGTTTGGAACTTGAAACCCTCCCATTTTCTCAAACAGTTATTGGAGAGCTTTTCTTATATTCTTGTTGCGCCCCTGCCACTGGACACATAGACAGTCTCCGTGGCACAAAGTCTTGAGGAACTTGGACTTGACCTGCTCAGAGAAGCTAATGTGCTTCAAGAGGAAATACTTTCCAGGTTGGTCAGGCAGAGGGACGGCAGCCAATTGAAAGTCGAACTGCATACCTGGAGAAGCTTTCAACCCAAAGGGGGCCGGCAAGTCATGAAACCGCTTGTCTTTGCCAGCTTGTGTCACTAGCTCTAGGAGGGCAATGGGAAGTTCGACAGGGCCAACCATGTCAAAGATGTGCCTGACTTTGCTGTTGTCTGAGATGGCGTTAAGAGGAAGGTCACTGGGAAGAACGCTGCCACGAGGAAGGTCCACGATGTTGGGTTTCTTCAGCTGATGTAGAAACATTGCATTGGTCGCATTCAGTGCGTTTTCCATGGTGATGTCACCGCCATCTTTAAGCATGGTTTCCACAAAATTGCACGATACTGCAGAAAATGCGAGTTTGAGTCAAAATGCCGGCTATGGCTAATGATTGCATGCTTGCGTTTCAGACGGTACAATGAAGAATTTGCTAGGCCAGATGGAGCAGAGATTTCAAATTCCCTGGCAGGCTCCAAAAAAATAGGTTCAAAAGCACATAATCACAAAGCCCTGGCAGGCTCAAAAAAAATCAAAAGTTTTGGCATCTATGAGGCCTCTGGTGCAAAATTTTTGTTTTTTTGAGCTTGCCAAGGAACTTGCTATTTTTTGGTCTACCCCACCTTGCAAAAACACTGGCAGGCTCCAAAAAACAATAATTTCAAAAGGCCCTAGTCACAAAACACTGGCAGGCTCAAAAAAAACAACAAAGCCAAACGTTTTAGGATCTATGAGGGCTTTGGGGGATGCATAAATTCTCGTTTTTTTGAGCCTGCCAAGGAACTTGCTATTTTTATATACACCACCTTGCAAAAACACTGGCAGGTTCAAAAAAAAATTATACACCCCCCAGACCCCCCATAGATCCTAAAATTTTGATTTTTTTGAGCCTGCAAGGGTTTTGTGACTAGGGCGTTTTGAAATTTTTGCGTTTTTTTTTGACTCTATTGTCGGTGCTGTTTTCTGGTGGTTCGATGTGTGTGGGGGGTTTGTGATTGTTTTGTGATTTTCTGGCAGGCCCACGTTTTTTGCGGACAAATTGGGTTTGGGTAGAAGCTTCTAATGCATACATCATTATATTTGGCACCCCATTCACAATGAAAAAGGCTCTAGATACAACAAAAACTTTAAGTTTTTTTGATTGGAGATCTCGATTTCTGGTCGGTTTTGTGGGTTTTGTCTTTCTAACCTTGCAGCTGGCATTGATGAATAGAACAGTCAGAAGAAAAAAATAATAAGAAGAAAAAAACCTACAAAAAGAAGAACAGCTTCATCCAATACCACCAAGTGCCACCAAGTGGTTTTTCACCCTGAGTGGCTTTTCAATGGATTTTACACGGATCGTGTGTGCGGTTCTCGCTGAATGGAGCACTGCCCGGGGCCACAGGATTTAGATGCCAATGCCTTGGTTCACTTGCTAAAGGCCGTGGGATTCCAGTTCTTGCAGGATGGTGGGATTTCAGGATTTGTTGAGGATATGTGGTTGGATCCATGTGACCATGTGAAATATTCACGAAGTCATAGATTGGAACTATATAACAAGTTTAAGGAGCAATCCAAGTCGTTTTTTGATTGCATTGTTGTTATATTTTCACATATTAATAGACCCCGCAAAAGACGTTTTTGCTTTTCCGGTGGGGGCAATTTTCAGGCAAAACTAAAAAGAACAACGCAACAAACAGTTTTGGTGTCGATGTTTGTTACTTCTGTTACTTCTGCGTTGATTTTTGTCACTGCGAATTTGCTGTTTTTTTCTGCGTCATGTTTTCTGGCGAGACGGAAAAACAAACAACATCGTTTCAGAGTCCAGGTATGATATGCTGTTCTTGGCACTTTGAATGTGGATCCTTTTCTCACCCTTGGTGTTGCTCCTGGAGGTCCTATAGTAATGTCCTACCCACCAGGCCATTGGTTCCCCGGGCCACAAATAGGGACAGCTTGGGCGTCCAGACCACCAGGTTACTGCACGTCACTATGTGACTGGAAATATGATCACACATTGTTTGTTCCATACATCAACATCGCTTATATGACCCCGCTCTGCTCCAGTCGTACCTTCATTTCGAAGGTGGGTGGGTTGGGTGTCAGGAGGGACTAAATACCTTTGGAGCTACTTGGAGCCCTAGGGACTTGAAGTCTTTACTACAACTATAGGTAATCTTTTGAGATACAACCATCTGGCAGTCGATCTGGCACTGGAGAAGCTTTCCCGTCTTTGACTCCGGAGATGTGTTTTTTGGAAGCTACTCACTCCAACCATCTCCAACCCACACCATCCTGTCAGGTGATGAAAGACATACGCCCACCATTCTTCGAATCCCGGTCCCGATCCCCATGGTTTTACTCGCGACCTCGTCAAGACACTTCAACACCAGGTGCTTCGCTCCCACCTCGTCAAGGGTCCATCAGCCCACCAGTTCACTGGATGGAAGCTCGCCTGAAGCACTGACCTTCCATCGTTGGTGTCCAAATTCCAGCCTTCACGCGGGCTGGGGCGACGGTCTCGCAGGGCTTTTCGCTGGTGCCCACCACGCCGAGCAGCATGAAGATCGTCAAGGCACAGACCAGACAGGAGGGTGCGGAGGATTTGTCAGAGATTTAGCTTAGGGGATCGCAGCCGCTCAGCCTGAGCCAGCCTGGCTGAGGGTGTTTACAATTGGAACAACCAGCACATCAATCATTTTAGGACTTGTCTCACTCACATGGTCAGGATCAACAAATTGTGCAGTGTTCTATCCCTGATTGGAGGTTATTATGAACTAGAGGGAGCTCCGCCATAAACAGCTGTGTCCATCCGTTTTCGCCATGGGGTTGATCTTTGATGTTGTCACTTTTGGACATCACGCCCCTTCTGTCACTCGCACTTTGAGGACAGTTGGAGCCCACCTTCTTGGGGGACTAGGGCACCCTGCGACTCTTGTCTCTCACCCTCATCCTGCCCTTGGCCTTCCCAGTGTGGAGTTTTTGGGGCTCACGAGTTTTTTAGGGGTAAGCATGGCTCCCCCTGCAGTTCCTCTTATGTTGCATTTTGAATGGCCCTAGTAAGGCAATTCCTGGCATTCAGCTGCTACCTTTGACCTTAACCGATTCACCAGCCTACAAAAAGATATGAGGTAGGTGGTGGTGTATTTCGATGGTGCCAAGGTCCAGACTACGTTAAGTTTTCAGGGTTCTCGGTTGTTTGCGCTCTGTCAAGCTGACATTCTCCGCAACCAGATGTATCCCTACAGTCTTCGTCAACCCCCCACTTGAGGTTGGCTACCGAAAATATTCTGGCCAGCTAACTTTGACAGGGACCAATAAACGTGATGACGTCGGTGAGTTGAACATAGGTCTATAGGTTTGTAATGCTTGGTATAAAACCTGATGAGAAATCATATCTGAGATTACCGAATGCCCATAAACACAACAGGATTGAGCCGTAATTTCCTGAACAGCTGGGGGAGTATGCACCAAATTGCACTGAACGGCAGGCTTTGGCAGAGGGAATCGTTTCCCAGCTTGACAAAGTGCGACCGCAGGCGCGTTGAACGAATCGGAGATGGTGCACGACCGGCTTGGGTTTGTCCCATTACCTGTAACGGTCTAACCATCATCCACTGTTGCTGGTAATAGGATGTATAAACGAAAATACCCAACTTAGAGTGAGAATGCTGAAGTTGGAAAGGTTCTCAAGTCCAGTTCTATCGAGTCTGGGAATTTCGAAGACGGCTGAAGACCCCAGATCTCGGATGTCACAGACTGTCACATCGCCTTCATCCCATCTCGTTGGTGCTGTTTTCAGGGGTTCTTTTGGAGGAAGTCTCCTTCGTCAAGACCGGAGTTCCAGAAGACACACCGGAACCACAGGAAACGTCAAACACTGAGTCGCTCGCTCGGTGAGATGGCAATCCAGCCCCTGGGACTAAAAACACCCCTATGTGACTCCTGCATGCATTTGATTTCCTCATTCTTTAGAAGTTGCACCAGTCAGAACTCCTGGAGAAAGGGCCCCCCTGCAGAAACTCTGAGCGAAGCTTCAGCTGCACAGAACGCTGCATTCCACTGGAAGGAGATGCAGAACATGGCCCGACTTCTGAATCGAGGAGGCCTGAAGGATTTTTTCCCCTTCGAAGGGCATGCTTTTGCAGAGCTTCAGGACAAAAAGATCAAAGCTGGTCTGCAAGCAGTTCAACTGTTCGGGTGGTTTATAGACTCCTCTATCATGTACCGAAGACCCTGCAATAACCCTCCCTTGCACATATTGCTTCCACCAATCAGCTCCAGACGCCAGTCTCTCAGCGCTCTCTGCAGCTCCTCTTTCGCTCAGGCAACGCCCAAGCAGAAGTCGATAAAGAGCAAATTGCCGTCCAGCTCCGACAGTTAGCCCAGAACGTCCCGGCCTCCAAGGATCCAGATGGGGACGGGCGCGAGATGTGAGGGGGGGGGGAAACAGGGCGGGTCATGGATGGAGTTGGTCGTGGGTTTTGGTGGTGATGTTCCTTTTAAAAGCGAAGAGGTCCCAAGACTGCTGCTTTCGGGTGTGTGATATGATGCAGCAGGTACAGGTGGACCCTCCAAAGACTGAGAGACAAAATTACACTTGTTCGAAGTCTTACATAGTCTTACTATAAAATATATAATTACATAGGTTGGGCTCCAAAACAGGTGCGAATCGGGACCGAAAGCGATCGATGGAACCGGCATGTGCACGATCAGAGGGCCTCGTGTTCGTGGGTTTGGGGACACCAAGCACTGATGGCCATGAATGGCCCAGACCGATCCCTCCAAACAGCTGGACCGATCCCTTAGGACTGGATTGCTGAGAACCCCCGGACCCCTCCGGATTGGCGGACCGGATTCGAGTCGGTCGGGTGGGTCGAGCCCAAGGGTCCAATCTCTTGAATGTTCTGCGGCAGAGCCTCGGTCGAGGAGTGTTCTTTACGAGTTTTTGGGGGATTCTGCGGTGTCCGGGCCGGGCTCCTTGGAAAGGGCCGCCTGGAGCCCACCAGTTTTTTGGACCAAATATAGTTCCTGGGGAGGTCTCTTTAGGTGCCATGCAGTGAAAAAGACCTTCCTTTACTTCAATGGGTCAAACGATCGTTTTTGGGACCAACGATCAGGGAGTTCGTTGGTGTACACCGAATTCGTGGCTTTCTTATGTGGGTGTTCGTCGAGCGGGCGAATGAGACTGCAAGTGCCTCGCGAATCGCATTGATGATTCTTTCTTCTTTCAAGGTGGACCGGGAAGGGGACCGGGATCCGACGACGGATCAAGGTTGGGCAGATAAACATGGAGGCCATGCCACAGGCAGAACACCCGGCGGGATCGCGCTGAGGGGAAT